CACCAGCGCATCCGCACCTCTTAAGTCTTATATCCTTATGCATGGCCTTTTGCATCGTATTATTCTTACTACTATGATTGCTATATCTTACCATAGCGCCTAGGCTAGTACCAGCACCCTTGTGCACTTAGATGTAGGGCAAATGCCAAACAAATGGACTATAATGCCCTTTAGGGGAAGGGATAAGTATCTTAATACTTTATTTGCCCAGAGGTTTGTGGGCTACTGCCTTCCTTTATAATGACAGGGAAAGCCAGCATTTTAGTGGTCATCAGTCAGCAGGATGCAGTCAGTCTGAGCCTCAAACCGTGCCTGGAGCAGCTATCATCTGCCTTTGCTGTACCACGCTGAACGGCATTGCCCTTTGCAATGGGGAAAACACTGCATCCCCTCACGTGAAATGAAAGCTGAAAAGAGGGTGATTTTTTCCTTGTGAGAACAGCATTCCCTCAGCTGATTTATTCATTTCCCCCCCCTCCAGCAGCAGGGCTGTCCCAGTAGGTAGCTCCTCTATTTTAATAAGGGCTTTACCTACCAAATGACTTCATTAAGGTCGTCCTCCCAAGGGGAGGACATGCCTGTCAGTTCAAGTTTATCAGAACATGGAGAGCTGGATGGGGCAGGGTTTCGGCACGAACCCTGAAGCAATGCAGAGGGCACCCCGGCAGAGCCACAGATCCTTCTTTTGTCTGAGCCTGAAGCCTGCCCCGATTTCCTGGGGGGGCTGATGAATCCGTTGAATTCCCGCCCCCCTTCTTCCCACACCTCCAGCTTCTGCAAGTGTTTGGCAGGCCAAAAATTTGCTAGAAGTCAGCAAAGGTTGCGTTCCTTCGGCCTTTTTGCATTTTGCTTCTGCTTGCATTTCCTGTCCGCTGCCAGAACCAGAAGCAAAGGGATGTGGCAAGAGAGGCTGCTTTTGTTGCATTCCCCTCCCGAAAAGCAGCTTGAAACGTTTGGAAAATATTGCATGAAAGCTCGCATCCAGAGGATCCCCAGCTCGGTGCTTAACCCCCTTCCCTGCCCCGGGGACTGGTAGCAAGCTCTGCACCGCCGCGCACAACATGAGCAGCTGAGCTGAAAGAGAGCATTAGTAGGCTTTTATCCTCGAATGGATAAGAGGGATGTTATTCCAATAGCATAAGCAGCCAAGTTGCAACAAGGGAGATTTAAGTTGGATATTAGGAAAAACTTTCTCACTAGGAGGGTGGTGAAGCACTGGGTTACCTAGAAAGGTGGTGGACTCTCCATCCTTGGGGGTTTTTATGACCTGGGTAGACCAAGCTGTGACTGGGATGATGGAGTTGGGGCTGGTCTTGCTTGGAGCAGGGGGTTGGACTCGATGGGACCTCCTGAGCTCCCTTCCTACCTGAATTTTCTATGAGTCTATAAATAAATGAGTGAAGCATGTGTCTGCCATTCACCTATTGCTACAACCCTTCGCCGCCCATGCAGTTTGGAAACGATAACCGAAAGGACAGGTTCTGATGTCACTGAGACCAGTGATGTCACTGCAGTGATGTCACCGGAGGCTGACATTGAAGTAAGTGAGATGGGAACCTGTCTAGATTTAAACACTTTACTTGTTCTTCCACGTAACCCTTGGTAGACTACAGAGGCCAGAACGGGCCGCGGTAATAACGATCCAGTCTGACGGGGCGTAGCGTTTCCTCGGCCTCTGCCCTTTCGTTTCTCACCCCTCGGTTGCCCCGCTGGTTGCCCCCTTTCTGTTCACATGCCGTGGGGTCTGTCAGGCATTTTGTCTTTCATGTTTCCTTGGTCAGACAATACATAACACGTTGCCTTCGTCAAAGGGGGAAAAAATGCACGACGGATGAGCACAAAAGGGCGGTTCGCGTTCCCCGCCAGAATGAAAACGCGCTGCTCTGCGTACAGTTCTGCAGCAAGGAAGCGGCTCGCTCGCAAGATGGTGTTTGACAGTCAAGTGCTGCATTGGAGGCTATTGCATCTCAGCGTGACAGAGAAACAGGAGACTGAAGCCCGTGGAATGAGATCGCATCTGAATTTGGGTCATGATATTGGACCAAGCGGAGGAGCTGCTTGAAACTTGATAATGTTGATACTCAAGGGGGAGTTTTTTAAAAACTGAAATCTGTGTACACCTAAACCCTGATGAATCGTAGCCTCCACTTTCCCTTCTTCTATGGGGAGAACGGCTGCTACTTCCAGTCGGCAGCGGAGGCCCCGGGGGTGGTGG